CAGAAATGCAGCCGTATTTCCAAACCACGCATGAGACGATATGATTTTGCAAATTTTACAAATATCTTTGCAGAATAAGAATTTCCATTAAATAGGGCTTTATGCAGTTTTATTGGACTCATTTCTACTACCACCCACTGTTGCTGTTTTTAGAATTGCGAATTTTTGAATATTTTGAATTATTTATGAAAGAATTTTAAAGATATTTTATTTTATTATTCGACTATTCGAAATAGTTTCACTCGTTTTTAAAAATTTAAATAACTTTTTTTTTGAACTGTAATAATATTTGAGATAAAAATTTATTTCGGTAGATCGGTGTTATGAAGAATTTCGTAAATCATCCATTTTAATTAAAGTCGTCTGAAGTAAATTATTTTAATTAATTAATGATTAGTATTCACCATTTCTGACGAAGTTCATTAGCAAAGATGAGAGAAACTCGCCCTTCACCAAAATCAAGAACGCGGCTGCATTTCTGAAGCAGCTTGCGAATAGAAGTGCCACACGTGGATCTCCATCTCCCTCGCAATCCACATTTTTTTATTGGTAGATTTTTTCTGCCAGAGATAGGGATCGAACGATAACTCTTGAACTGATAATTAAGCAGTGACGATATATATCTTAATTCGAGCGAGGAAAAATGCTGAATATTCTCGAAATACATGATGCATGATCATGATGCATCCTTTCGCTGGCTCTTCTTTTACGTGCTGTCTTCCTTCACCGATCAAAGCGAAAATTCTTCTAAGAAGAATTATTATTTATCCTTTGCATTAAATGCAGTAATAGCACAAATAAAAACCTTTTTTTTTGTGGAGATAAAAGGAGTCTATCGGCGATTACAGAAACTATTATCGTTACGAGAAAATGAATTTTGCAGCGATTCATTCGTCTTTCTTATTGCTTGCATCGTTCGCTTTTATGCGACACGCTATTACGCTGAAAGAATTCATTTTATCGAAAATTTGCGCAATATTCGTCGTCGTAATTCTTAATGATTAGAACGTCGTTCTTTACTTGAAATCAATAGAAAATATAGATATTTGTCGGATGAATGGATATATTTCTATATTTCCATCTGAAAAATCCTCCTTCATATTTCGCTTTTATTCATCTCGAAGAGTTCATGAAAATCTCTCGCTTTTTATTTCTCTTTTCCGCTTCCATTCGTTTTGTTCATCGGGCAACTCATTCATACGATTTTTTTTGACTTACAGCGATCTCATTTTTTATTAATTAATTAGTTGCTGAAATAAGCCAATGATTCCCAACGTTAAGTTTGTCTCTTATTTGCTTTGTTCTTTAATTAATGCTCGAATAAAGCGATCATTTCCACAGAATGAGCAATGAATTCTCTATGAACTATAGAAAACCAAGGAGAATCTATTTCGCAGTTCGAAACTAAGCGACAGGCGCATTTCGTCTTTCACATGAATAATAGTTTAAGAAAAAATCTTTTAATTTGTTTCATTCTTCAAAATATTGTTGAAATACTTTCGAATGACTAAAAATCATAATTTTTGATTTTCCGATCTGAATTTTTAAAATTGACAATTTCCCTTACTTTGTTTCATTTTATAATTCAAATTATTTTAGTTTGTTTAAAACTGTTTAAAATTAATAATGAAAACACAAAGTTTAATCGATCTATTTTAGCAAATAAATGAATGAAATTCACTCAATTTATTGCTTTTTTTTCATTATATATGATCAACGATCGTATTTAATTTTATTATATTTTGTTAAATTGCATATAAAAATAATCGAAATTTTTTTACAGCTTTTAAAAATTTTCAAATGTTGTTTAAATATTGATTTTCCCCTTAAAAAAGAAACGAGACAAATTTTTCAAGGTCGAACCTTAATTTGAACAGAAACTATAAAACATCGAATTTCTCCTAACAATGGTTGAATCACTGAAAAAATAGGCAAGTACATTATTGAAGATCACTAATACATCACTAATCATTAATCATTTTTAGTTGGGCTGGCTTCATTGGCTGTTAGCACGATTAGAAAATCTAGTAGTGATAGAATTACACGACAGATCGCCACCACTATCCGGTTTTTAATGACAGGTTTACTTATTGCACAGTCAGGAGCCGAACGACTGACTCCCACCATGATAATCTGAACTATCAGCCATTTGAATATTTTGCTCACTTAAAAAATGCAAATGTGCAAATATAAAATTAGGCAACTCATGGGTACCACTGGTTTTGTTTGTAAAAAAAGTCCTACGAGTCCTAAATTTCAACGAGTTGGAAAAGATTAATTAGGAATACGTGAGAGTGAAGTTCCTTATGTAACAAATCTTTAAAGCGTTACTTTAAAAATTTAGGAAGTAAGATTTAATTAAAAACTTTCACAAGTAGGCAAATAATAATATAACAGGTTTTGAAATAAATGAAGCATTCCATTCGATTGTTTAAGTAAATATACTTGTAGGAATTCAAAAACAATATATCCGTGTATTTTCGCTTTTATTTAACTTTCATTTTGCAGAATTAATTCCATATTTTTCTTATTCTTCGTATTCTAATAACATTGATCTTTTCATTGGCTATTGTGGTGAGCGGAAAGATTTTGGTCAGAGAGTTACCGTAAACGAGTAGACCCACAGTTGACACTGATTTTAAGCCATTCTTTGCCATAAATGCCATCGTTTTCTTTGCGTTCTTATGGAAAACGCTGATTGGCTGAATAGAAATGGAAGATTCGAATGCTGCAAAAGATAAACAAAGGGAAAGAATATTCATGATAATAGTGGAAGAAGGAACAGATGATCATACTGGAAATAGACCAGGTGATAACTACAGACCGACCTGTCTGACCGGCTTATTACTGGTTTCATGTCGCTGAAAATTATTTCATCGAAATACTATTCGATTATTTTATGCTATTCGAACGCATAATAATAAACAATAATAAAATTATAATAGTGATAATGAAAATAATAATAATAAATAAAACAATATATAATAAAGAATTATAATTTCTTCTAATAAAATAAATATAGAAAAAAGTTTTTGTGAATGCATTTGCGAAACAAGTAAGTGGTTAATCAGTTGTGTTAGTCAGCTAACCTATAAAAATATTACTTATTTACAAATTTGATAAATAATCAGCAGCTACTTGCATGCATCGATAATTATATTTAAGGACATATTTTAAATTTTATTATATCGCGTAATTTTTGTGAAGAAAAGTCCACTGAGAGAAATCTTATTTTTAGTATCGTCTCGAATTTGTCACGAGTTCCTCATTTGAAATTCTTCTTTTTATTCGTTATACTTGATTCCCAATATTTATGTCAATCAGATGTTCGATTCCTGAGGTTAATGCTCGATTCCTGAGGTTATCAATCGTTTGGCTTATCTCTTGCAAATGGAACTATTATCGAAAAATCCGAGTGGTGCTGTGAACCCATCTCTACTGGCCATATGATTTATTCTTTATCGTTTTGAGCATCATGATTCGGCCATTTCTACTTCTTCTGCTGAGAGCGAAATTCGCGTTAAAAAAAATCCGAGTGCCAGTAGCAAAGTCGACAGAAAGGTTCTCATAGCGAGTGGAACGAATCCAACCAGAAATGGAGAAATGGAATGTCACTAATATTCAACAATATATATTCAACAATATATATATTCAACAATATATATTTAATGAATTTAAATGAATTTAAAATTAAAAAAATCTTTATTTTTAGAAATTTATTTTTGAAGATTTCTTCATTTATTTACACGGAAATTAATTTTTCTAATTTATTTATAGTAAATTTTTTTTATTTTTATAATTTTTATTTTTATAATTTTTGTTTTTCTCATAAGAATCTTAAGGCATTGATTTATCATTGAATTTTTGGTTTGTTTAATGGAGAGTTTGAAAAGAAATATAATGGAATTCTTTGTGTGTACACAATTTACCACCATAAGTGTAACTTTAGGCGAATACTTTTCATAATAATAGTTCTAGTGTTCTCAACGAATTTTTCGCCATTTTCTTATTTTTCTTTAGTTTTTAACGAATTCAAACAATTCAAAAATAATCCTGTTTTAGAGAGATCCAAAGTGAATTGAAGCGATCAGTTCAATTCATTGCAATACTTACTTCATTATTACTTCATTTGTGGTTCTATCCTAATTTGGTTTATTTGTCATTTGTTATGGCAATATATGTTATGGTTGTAAACGTCGCGCCACTAATTTCGGTTATTCGCAGACATCTTTTATAGGCATCCGTGTGCATCCACAAGCATAATCCATGCGTGACACCTTAGCATTTTATGTATTCAGCTGCACTCTTAAATTTTGACATATGATAATTATTGCAATTGGTAAAAAAACTTTCTATTTTTAATTTATTCGATTTTTTTAAGAATGCAAAAAAAAGTGTAGAAATTTTTCGAAAAAGACTCATTTTTACGCAAACGATTAACTGATATGGTTGAAAAATGATGAGAGGAATAGTGAAGAAAGACCGATCGGAGCGATTAGAAATAATTTTAAGAAACAAAGCGCCTGTTTAGCTTGATTGATGTTCTCATGCAAGATGGAAATCATTTGTGTCTGTCGGTTATCGTATGGCGTATTACAGTCACTTTAAAATTTATTCATTTTACTGCACAAATTTGACATAGGAAATGTATTTAATAATAAATTTTCAATGATTCAAAAAAAGTTGGCTTAGTGAGAGAATTTTGCCGGAGGGAAAATCCATCACTCGAAAACTGAAAAGTTCAGAATGCGTTCATCAGTCGCACATTTTAACAAGTTTGCTCGCGCTAGAGGCGAAATGCGAATCGCCACAATATTTATTAATTTTTTATTTTCAAATTAGTTTTCTTTTTTTTGATAAATTTTTATATAAGAAACGTTAAGTGGAATGATTTTGATTGTCATTCGTTATCAGTGAATGCAGATAAATCAATAAAATAACTTGGAAGTGTGATAAGCGCAACCACAATAATATAGCGAAATTCTAAACGTATAAAATTAATGGAAGTAAGGAAATGCGCAAGTGAAAACGAGGCAAAAAGCCGGAAAATAATGCGATTTCCTTTTCATCGCGGCGGTGAGCGTTTGCGATCGATGTTGGAGTATTTCGAAACGATAGCATCTCATGTAAAAACGTTTATTTGCACCATCCTATTTAACCTCTTTTCCAAGCAATCGTCGCCGTTGTTCAGCGTTCTAAAATCTCCGTCTCGCATGCTATTTGTATGAAAATTTTTAGTGCTATTAAAATAGTTCGTAAAATTGTACGAATGTATGTGCGTGAAGTTTCACGGTCGTCGCGTTCACAAGCATCATTGTCGTCATCGTCGTTGTCGCCGTCGTCGTCACCTTTGAATCAAATCGAATCCGATTTTTGAGTTTTTCACGTTTCTCTTCGAATTTTCCACGATAAACGATGCGATGAACGAATAAATCGACATAAATTTTTCTCTTTAATGCTATAAAATAACGCTCATTCGGATGAAAATTCGCCTTTTTCTCGTCCTCTCGTCGCCTTTTTCTCGTCCTCTCGTCGCAATCGCCATTACCTATTACTCAACCATCCACCCATCCATCCATCCATCCGACCACCCATCCATCCATCCATCGAACGTCATCCGACATATCAACAACAGCTGAAGCAGACACACACACACACACATATTTTACTATTCATTTTCTCACTTCCCTCGTCCAATATTCATTCCCTCGTTCCATTATTTTCCAGTCACCAATACTTCCCTTTCACTCTCCGTAAACTAGAAAATTTTTTCTTCTTTTCTTTCCTTTCCAACATTCATTATAAGCGATAGACACTCACTCATACATACATACAAAATATACAAAATATATACATATATATTTGATGACGAAGAGAGAATATTACAACTGCGACGACGTAAAACACATAAAACCGTCCGTCGGGTGGAATGCTGCGGGAGCGCGTAAGCGAACGTCGAGGGAGGTTCATTCCATCGTTCGTCATTTTCAGTTCTCTCGCAGAGTTTTTATTTTCCCTTTTCTTTTTTGAGGTAAGTTCGCTGAAAGTGAAATCGCTGAGGAATCGCTGAGGTGATCATAATTCACGAAAAGTATTTCCTTAAACTTGCTTTTTGAATAAGAATACCATTTCCATCACTCCTAACAGTTGGTTTGCGCTCGACGCTCCGTTCCGCATCGTTCGCCGTAGCGAACTATGCGGAATTTTTATACGGCGAGGTGTCAGCCAGCAGAACTACGGCGGCGGAGGGCGGCGGTAGTTGCTCGTGGCACTTTGGCCGGTCCGAGCTGCCGTGCGCGCTTTTATGTTTGAGCCGAGAACTCAGCCGCTCGACGACTGTGCTTGTTGTTCAGTTATTTTGAGAATCGACTTTAAAAATAGATTAAATAGAGTAAAATTAAAAATAAAATGTTTTCAGTGAATGCAGCAAAGAAAATTTCGAGAATTTCGTTTTTAAAAATTGTGAAAATTTTAGAATTTTAATTTATATTTATTTATTTATTATAAATATGCTATGCGTTTTTTATATATTTTTATATGTATTTTATATAAAAATTATTTTACATCTCTTTTACATTTTTTTTTTTAATCGAATTCGTTAAAAGTTTTCCAATTTTTTTTTTTTTTATGAATCTTTTCTGGGAAAATTATCTGAGAATTACAGCAAATTTGGCCATTTTGTTTCGTTTATTATTATTATTTTAAAGCAAAAAAACTCGAATAAATTCAAAAAGTTTAATGAGAATTATAATAATCAATAAAATTTTTAGATTTATTCTCTCGATTCCGCGAAAAATTTATAAAACAAAAAAACAAAAAAACGAGGAAAGAGAAAATTGTTCCACGATTGATTCACAAAGGCACAATTCGAATTCTTCTTTCGAACACCAATTTGATGCTTTACATGTTAGTTTTTAAACGAAATTTCTTACTAACTCCTTAAAATTTAAACTTTTTTGATTTTTATAAATTTCTGCAAATTTTAAAAATTTTCAAAATTTTCGGAATTTCTATCGTTTTTAAACTGAAAAAAGTTTCTTCCGTTTTTTAAAATTAATTTTGGAACAAATTCATTTTCTATTTTAAAAAAATCCATTTTCTATTTAAAAAAATTGGAAGAACTATTGTTTTTGAAATAAAATCTGAAATTTGCTTTCTTTTAAAATTTAAGTTATTTTTAAATAAATCGTTCTGCGATTCCTTAAAAAATAACTGATTGGCTTTTTTTTATTTCAATCCTTCTCCTTCAAACTTTTTGCTTCGATTTCGTTTGCGTTTTTTATTTGTGCGAATCTGCAATTTAGCAATGCTTTGGGAAAGTAACTCAGAGCAATTTTTCGTTTACCTCGGTAGCGTTTCCCCTTTTTGAGTTTTGTATGAATGCTTCCACTTAATGATTTTTATGCTAATTATTTCCTTAAAATATAACTGTCATCTGCCAAACTAATTACCCGTTTATTTAATAAAGGTGATTATTATTTCTAACGGTCGGCTTCAGCTTTTTTACTATTAGTGAACATAGAAAATTGATTGAAATAATTCGTTTTTAATTTTGTTTGCAATAAAATTTTGTTCATTTTAATTGATAGATTTCGTATGTTTCATTTTTTTCGAATATTTTTATAATAAATTCTGCTTTATTTTTTTCAGAAAATTCTCATTTTATTTTTTCTCCATTTGCTTTAATTAAATATTTAAAATTTTAATAATTTTATTAATTTAAATCGTCAAATTATCTGTTGAATAGTGAATAATAATGTTAACAATGACAATATTAATAATATTAATGATAATAATAATAATAATAATAGTCACAATCAATTCTTTACGAGACGAGCCTTTTATTTTTTTTCTCAATTAAGTGACTTCACTAACTATTAGAATTGAGATCCAAAAAATTTATTTGGCGATGAAAGTATAAATGGTGGCCCATCACATCGCCGTTTTTTTGTGGCTGCTTTATTTGTGCGGATTTTATCCTTTATTTGTGGCCAGTTTACCTCTCCAAGAGAGAATGTGGATTGAGCGCGCAGTGCTTGACCAGTTGCAGCCGTGTGCCACTCGGCGATCTTTCTGCTTCCAAACGTCATATTAATTATTTAGCTTTATTAGTAATATTAATGGATATTTAAATTAATATTTTTATATTTATGTAATTTTGATAAATCGAAAATAGAAGACTGTTTAAGAAATATAACATATTTTTCCATTGTTTTTAATGATACTAACTTATCAAAATTCTGAAATTTAAAAAGTAATTTGCTTGGAAATTCCATTTTCTTTATGCGAAAATCTTAAGGAATTTATCAGATTAACAGTTATTTATTCATTGGTAAAATAATTGCAAATATCAATTTTAAGCGAAAAAATAAACCTTTTAATAAACCTTTTATTGATTTTCTTATTTCTTCATTTATTCATCATAAAATATTCAAATTTTTATTAATATTAAAACTGAAACATATTAAAATCATTTATTACTTTTTGTTATTCTGTTTCTTATTACTATTGCCATTAATGAGCCCATTAAATCAGTGTATCGGCGAGATAAACAAAAATATTGCCAAAATTTAATTTTAATGAAAGTGAATTTTTGATAAAAATTTTAAAAAATGGATATAAAATTGGATTTTCCTTAAGAAATAATTATTTTATTAATGAATGTTATGGAAGTTGACCTTGAAACGACTACGGCAATTCGAAATAATTATTTTTTTCATATTTATTCAAAATTTAGAATCTATTTTATCGATTTCTCCTTTTTAAATTCTTGATTTATTAATGGATTTTTCACTTTTATTTCATTTCTAGTGATTTAAATTTTTTGAAAATTTTTTTTTTTATTATTACGGAAAAAAATTTTCGATCTGAACATAAATTCACTCGGTTTTTTATTTTAATTTTTATTTTATTTGTATTTTAATTTTATTTTTTATTTCCATTTTTCTTCCAATTTTTCAGTCTATGATCAGTTTTTTTTAATTTTTGTGTTTGCATTTATGTTTGTAAAAGTTCGCAAATTAGTTTCTACAATTTTATTCGCTCAATAACAAAACAACAAAGTAAATTTCTATATGGATTTTTTCTTTTTAGTAGGATTTTCACTAAGAAAAATTTTTTGAATTCTTGTTAATTTAGAAAAAAATTAACTCATACAACGGCCCTTCCCCAGTGACCTTTAAATCTGATGTTCCCTTTTTCGTTCAACGACCTGCAGAATATTTTCTTCTTCACTATCAATTTTTATATTTTCTTTTTTTTCGACTATTTTCACGGAATAATTTTTTGAAATTCATTTCTTCGAATTAAAGCTAAATATTTGTTAATAGAAATTCATTTTTCTCACAATTTTTTATGTCCTTTTTAGACAGAATTATATTTGAAAAATTTAGAATGATGGTATATCGAGACACTGGATGAAGGAAGAACCACAAACCGAACAAACAGCGAACTCCACGACATCATTCGTGGCTTCTAATAATAATAATTCACTTGCGACGAACGCTGCAACTGATCCTTCTTTACAGAAATGGTGTCAAGGATGTTTAGAAATCAAGAGGTTTTTTTGAGATCTATTTATCAGTTCATTTTCTTTTTTTTTATTGTAATCAAAGGGATGTCGGAAATATCAGTTAAACCATTGTTATTTCATTGGTGTTCGCAAAAGTTTTTTCTCTTCGCACGTAATTTTTCTAGAGAAGTTCAAGAAATGAAACAAAATATGGAAAAGAAAATATTGCTTCTGAGTTGTCAAGTGAATAATGTATCAGCCAATGATAATTCAGCTTTTTTATCAACTCCGCCAGTTTTGAAAAATACTGCACCAGAATGTCCTGTTGCTTTGCGACCTTTGCCAAATTGTTAGTTTTTTTCTTATGAGGACTTTTTTTTATGTTTATTAATATATTAATATCTCATTTTCGTTGATCATTTTTTAGGTTCGCTAACATCGCCACTGCTTTACTGGAACTCTTATTTACCACAATCATTGTTTCCAAGAGCAGATCCAAATCTCACAACTTTGGCTTTACATGAAGCATTACAAGCCAAGACTTGGAATTCTTCTTGCAATGCGCAAAATGGGCAAAAAGATTCTATCAATGGTTTCTCTTTATTTTTTTTTTTATCTGGTAATTCATTTAGTTATTTAGTTAAGCAAGAAATTTATGAATGTTCTTATTTTTTTATAAATCTAAATCACAGGCGTTGACGATAAATTATTATCTGATATTTAATGAAAGAAAAATTTATTATGTTTGAGAGGTTTTTATTTAAGCATTTCTTTGTCGATTTTCTTCTATCGTATCATACTAAAAGTAAATAATAAAGTATTTTTCAAAGAAGCTACTTTTGTTTATGATGATAATTTAACTGCGGAAATGATAAAAGATAAAATATTGTTTTATGAAATATTTTTATTATATTTTTATATATTTCACGTTAGTGTATTATTTTTTATATGCTCTATAAATAATTTTCCCATACTTATATTATATATATATACATGCATATATATTTCTGTTAAAGTACTTTTTAACATCAAGAAATATAAAATTTTGAGAATACTTTAAAATTTTTTAAAATTTTTTCTTCGTCGATTTTTTATATTGTGAATTATTAAGGTGATGTTCCAATGGTCGAAAGTGATTCTTCAGTTTCTACAACATCAGCGAAACCAAATATCTTCAATACTGAGGTTTTTTTTCTTTTCTTGTGACAGATTACCTGTTACAAAAACGAGCGTAGGCTAAACAAGAAGTTTTGCTAAATGCTAGTTTTGCTAGAAAGAAGAAAAGGAATAAAAATCTTTGAAAGAAGTGACTTGCGTATTTATCGACGGTTCGTAATTAGACTTAGAATATACAGCTGGTTGTAGACTTTATAATTGCCCAGATACCAAAATTAACATTATTGGTATTGTTATCCTTTTAAAACAGTTTTCATCTAAGTTTTTTAACGTTTATAGTGTGTCAGTTTATTTGTTCAGACTTATAACTCGCGTGGTTACTAATCTTTTTAACAAGCCAGATCTTCATTCACCGTTAATTTATTATATTTTATTGCTATGCATAAATATACAACTTTTCGATCTCATGTCATTAATTTATCGTTTAAGATCAATTTCATGATGGTAATTTGAATAAAAATATGAAAATATTATTTCTTTTTAGCTGGCTAATTTGCCTAATTTATTTGCAACAAGGTACGGCTTATCTCTCAATTCGTTATATCTTCAACAAATGCAACAGTTAGTGGTTAATGGGCAATCGGAACAATTTCAGTCACCTTTACAGTTACACCAACAATTTCAGCATCAAAAGCAGCAGCAACATCAGCAGCAACAACAACAGCCACAACAACCATTACAGATTAATTCACTAAGTGATAAAGTAATTTTATGATCATTTAGTTTTGCAAGTTTCTTTGCTCTTGTTTGAAATGTGATTTGGGAAAAATTTCATTTCGAAATATATTATTTAAATATATTTTTTATTTGTTTATTAGTTTTTATTTTATGTTCATTCTATTTATTTTATCAAAAATTTTATTTACATTTTTTTTTAAAGAGATCAGCTATTCATGAAACATTAACTAGTGCCAGGCAACATAATACACCTCAGCAACATCTCATTCAACAATTTTTGAATAGTAATAGTCAGGCAGTTCAACCAACTATTCCTCAGCAGCAACAGCAACAGAATTCTTCTCAGCGACAAGCTATTGTATTACCAACGGAACGCAAAGTTAGTCATTTATTTAACTACATCATTTTTATTTACTTGTTATCATAATTAAATGCATTTTATGCTTATTTAGAAAGCCATATCGGATGATTTTGTCAAATATATAAGGCAGAAAGGAATAAGTCAGAGCAGCATTTCTGGCATTCAGATTCCAGTACCACAAGCATTTGAAAGTGATCCTGGTTCGCATTTTTTTGCTGATTTAGCATTTAAGCACTTAAATCATCCTTAAGGTGAAAAATTTAAAAAAAACTTGATTTATTTCTTAAATTTCAGAAATCTTTCAACGTTTTAATTCAGTCCAGTTAATTTTATCATTGATTTCAAATGAAAGGAAAGACAGAGATTGGCGTTTTATCATTTGTAAAAATTGGGAACATTATCGTTTAATAGGTTATTTATGGAGAAAATCGAAAAGTTCTAGATGCATTTTTAGACTTTACTCCTGCAAGTGAAGAACAAATCATACAGCAGTTTCATCAAAACCGTAGATGTGAAGAGGATGTGCGGAAAGCTATGGCTTTTTTATCTAAAATGCTTGCCGAAAAACGAGTCTTTGGCACAAAACTTATGGCTCTAACGACTGTGGCTGGACCCAATCATTCCACTTACAAAAATTTACCTGAAGAAGGCATACATTATATCGCATGTTAGTTTCACTTAATGGTGAAGCTTTTTTGCCAGGAAATATGGCAAAAAAAAAGATAATTAACCAGAAGCAAATTCAAAAAATCAAGCTGCAATTTTTTTTCAGCATTTTCTATTATTTATATTTTCTTGTGTACTGTTCTTAAAAAAGTGTTTCATAAAGCTTTCATTGGATTTTTTATTATTATTACGCTTTCTTAAATTTGTAGACGTATGTCGTAAAGTGATGATGAAGCGTGTGCCTGATGATGAGGAATTCTGGGAAGTTTTTCGGGATGTTACTCGAAAGTTAGCAGCACGTTGTCGACGCGTTCGACATTCGAAAAAAACTCTCAAGAATAAGGGAGCACTTTGTTTACGTCAGTGTGGTGGTGTTGGTTCGAATGAATCAAAGTCGTCACAGTGAGCAAAAACTTTTCTCAGACTTTACGGTTGCAAACTTTGATGCGGGCATTAATAGAGCGTCAGACGGTTTTTATATATTATAATCATTCATTAAATACCGTTGTATATAATGAATCCTAATCAATTTGTTTTCTTTTTTAGACCAGTAGTTTTATTCTCGGTGTTTTTATTTAAATATTTTTTTGAATAAGTTAATGGAAGTGGTTCCAAAATTTAAGGATTTTTCAAATCCAGAGCTTTTATTAACTCTTTCGAGTCCATTTTGGTGTGGTAATTTAGTTATTTAGTAAGAAATTCAACTTTTCAGTGGATAAATTCTTTTTCACTTTTTTGTAATAAAATATTTAGAAGCATTCGGTGACTTGTTTCTAAGATTCATTCTTATCTCATTTCAGTGCTTTGAAACAAAGGAATTTCATTCTTCCATTAATTTTGTTTAATTTTGTTTAATTAATCTTCCATTAATTTTGTTTTGCTTTTATTTTACTTTTGTTAAAGTTGTAATTTTTTTTGTTCTCATAAATACCTCAGGAATGTTTGACTCTTCATTTGACTCAGGATTTGATTTTTTTGACTCAGGAATATTTGATCAATGTTTTGTGTACTCAGGAATTTTGTTTTTTTGTTTTCTCCGGCTGTATCGTAATTTTCCTTTTTATTTCTCCCAAATATTTATGGAAATTTTAATTTGTTTACCTCAGGATATTTTTTTAAATCTCAGATTGGTTCGTTTTTTCTCTGTTTATTTATTTGATTTTTACCTTTTGTGGTCACTTTTACAATACTGATTAGGTTTTTTAAAGCTATTTTGTTCTATATTTCGTTTTCTTCAGCTTATCATCATAAGGCAGGATTTTGCTGATTAGAAATATGAGGAAATTTGCTTAAACGGTGAAAATATATAATTTTATAATTTTTACGGTGATGGCTGATGATAAAATATGATTGCTGAATTCATAAACAGTTTTAATCAAATAGCACTAATTGTTTTTTTATGTAAGCATAGTTTTACTATAACTATTACCTATAAAAAATGTAGTTTTCTTAAGAAAATTTTTAATTTAAATCAAATTTTAAAGGGTTAAATGTTAAAATTTTGACTTCTTTTAGGGGTTATAAATAGTTGGAAACCCGACCCGATTTACGGTTTTATGTTTCTATTAATTTTGCTGTTAAGCATCGAATATATTTCGAATCATCATTAAACGTTTTGTGATACACAATTTTATTTAGACTCACTTTTGTCATTCTGTGAAGGTGATAGTTGTTTTCACTATTGTAGTTATATGAAACCTTTTAGTTATGCAAAAATATATATTTTTTAAAATTTTTTGGTATTTCTAATGTTTTTAAACGGGAAAGATGGATTGATTATGAAAATTTCTATGTTAAACTTTTTTAAATAAAGTTTCAATTATTTTAAGGGTGACTTAGGAAGAATTTCAACATGATTTCCCATAAATTCATAAATATATCGGATTAACGGGCAAAATGTTTAAGGCAGTTTTCATCAACAAATCACCTGAAGGTGTTGATAAATATTATTGTGTGAAAAATCTCATGGCCTTTACCCTTTAACAATTTCTTAACACCGTTTCTTTCCATTCTATAATATAATTAATGATGTTGTTTGGAACAAAACCCGTCGTGGTTCCTAAGGCAGCCTAAACATTTTGTGCCTTTTTATTCCTCACGGCCTTTCACAACAACTGGCTCTGGTGCATTCGCTTCATTAAGTATTTTATGCATCTCAGCAACCGTAATTCTTATAGAATTATTTTACATAATTATAATCGTAAAATAAAACCTTATAAAAATATAGAATGTAAAATATAAACGGTGAGGAAGGGAGGGAACGAACATTACAGGATTGGTATCGAGAGAGGAGTGGCAGTTGCACATTTTAGAGGGTTCGAATAGGTGCGACGGTTTGGTGAATATAGCGTTTTTAGCATTTTTTAGACTGTTAGATTTCGAAAAAATTTGTAATTTTTTCATTTTCTCATTTTTTACTAAACTATGAAACGAAATTCATGTAAATTCGATCTGTTCTAACTACTCTTTTCTTTCAAAAATAAGGAATGAAGAACTTTATTTCTAATTCGTAATTATTATGAATGTAGGAATAGAATAGCTCAACAGGTTATTACTTCGAGGCGCCGATGCTGTGGTTCTATTCTTTGCAGGAGTGGCATTGTCTTTCAAAGATCCCTATGACCTCTTCTATTGCCAAATGATTCCCTGGCAACATTTGTCAAACCAGTGGAGAGTGGAGATCAACCAAACATAGCGAGTGTCCATCTTCTAACAGCTCTCATCATTACTGGTTAGGCTGGCTGCAGTGCTACAATGTTAAGATATTTTCTAGCTGTTCGATCCTATGCCATCTCTAAAAATAATAGAAGTTATTTCTTTTTTGGTCCTCCTTTATGTCCAAAATCTTTCCTGACTAGTCCAGGTCTTGAATGGCCCTCCTTTTGACGCCATCCATTACAGGATATAGCAAGTAACGAAATATGTGTCAATTCCTGTATTGGGCGACAAAGAACGTGCCCTAACTAGCGAAGACGACGTTCTGTGATGCTACTACTAATTCAAGTGGTATAAGAGCGAAAATGGATCCAATCATATGAAGTTTTATCCGCTCGGTAAAACGGATCTTATTCCACTCTCATTGGTTATGTCTCACAGTCATATAGCAAGATCGAGCGAATTATAGTTATAGGGACGCGGTCTTTTGTTTTTATGGTGATTTCACGAAGGCTTCATAAAGTTTCGTCAACTGGAAAGAACGCAAACTATCATTATCTAGATTATAATTTCTTCCTTTGCTTGGCCGTTTGGGATTGAAATTAGAGTGGATTTAAGATATTTAAGGTCGGGCATTTCCTCAACCGGCAATGAATCGATAAAAATAAGTATTTTATCAGCATTTTATAAGAACACTTTCGTTTTATTTACATTGATCCTGAGTCCAATTCTGGCTGTAGTTGTCGACACATTATATAACATTATTTGCATTTCATTATATCTGTCAGCAGAAAGGACTACATCATCAGCGCAAGGTATTGTGTTGTTATGCTGTAAATTGATTTGCACACCTCTTGAGTGCCGACAAGCATTGTCCATTATCCAGTCTATCGCACATTTGAAAATTGTAAGAGAAAGCAGCCTTGACGCACACCAGTTCTTATTTCTGTCAGTTCCTCACATATACAGATCTGTACGCAAATAAAACACCTTTATAGGCGAATCATTTCTGGAACATCGTTATATTCTCTCCAAAGCGCCGTTCTATCAGTTGAATCGAAAATAGATGCAAAATCGATGAAATAAATGTCGGTAGATTACTGATATTTTTGAAGCGTAAATATCTGGTCAGCACAACAGCATCCTGGTCTAAATCCAGCTTAATTTGGGCACATTCCGGCCGTCTCTATTGTCATAAATCTATTAAGCAGAAGGGAAGCACTTTTCCGAAGATTTAATTTTAATTTAAAGATTTAATTTAATAAGATATTTAATTGACTGATTCCTCGGTAATTCTTGTCATTGTGTTTGGGAATTAGAGTATTTTGATTTGCTCCAGTCATTCTGATATTATTTCTTTCTTCCATACCAGAGAGTACTAGAGAATTGAAAGCTTCATGAAGGACGATGAACAAAACAATATTTGAAAATATCTGCTCGAATTATCTTGTCCAGAAATTTTTTCTTAAGTTTCTAGATGACATTATTTCGTATTATGCTGGCGATTTACATAAACATATGGCAGCTATGACCGAGACAACAAATGGTGCATCATAGTTAAATTGCCTCAAAGAATTTCTTCCATTAGGCTATCCTTAACAGGCACACCATTACCATCTCGTTTCACTAACCGATTTTCGAGTTATAGTTGAAAGCCGAATAATTTCCTATTATCGCATAAATGAGCAGCCGTCTCCATTTGTAAGGTCATACCACTCCAATAACGATTTCCTGCCGGTTGCTGTCGTTGTATTTCTTCTAAGTATTCTATAGCCAGGATCTGTTCATACTCTCCGTGCTTTGGCAGCCTTTTCGGACAGTTGGACAGTTGCTTCCGATACCTTTCATTGGCACCTCCTAACATGAAAGTGGCTAACTTTCGAAGACAGACATGTTTTCAGTTGGAACCAATATTCCAGAGACACCATTGATATTCATACCAGTGAGGTGCTCCAATTATTTGAAATGCACTAACTGTCCCCAAATCTTTTAATTTAAGATAATTGGAAGATGTGGTTTTTTGCGATTTGTTTTTTTTATGTGAATCTTGGCTGGAACCATAACATAGTCTGATCTATGAAGGTTACCAGTTTTAGTGCGATAGAAACGACTACTTATACGGAACTCTTACAACTGCGAGTGATTAAAATATAATCAATCTAGTTGAAATGTTGGTTATCCGGAGAGTTTCGGGTGACTGGATGTCTTCTCCGATGTCGGGAGCATATAATAAAGATCTCATGTTGTTCGGCAAAGCGAAGAAAGTGTCTCTATCGGTGCATCGGGCTCCGATGCCATATTTCCCAAATATTAAATTCATCGTAACGGCATTACCTGCATTCCAATCTTTCCCGATTATAATCTTCTCATCTCTTGGTAAAAATATAGTTGGAGATATGCGTAGAACTTATTTCACGTTCATCTGTGCATAAACTACATTGATGAGAGAAATATTGCATGGAAAAAAACTTTTCTTTGAAGTGAGCACAGGCCATGTGGTCGTTTACCGGTTCCCATTTAATTAGAGGGGACGGAGCATTTTCAGTTATAACAATAGCTGCGCTATTTCGTCCCAAGTTATTCGAAACACCCAATGGTATAGGCCTCTTCTCGGAGCCAGGTTTAGGACTGCACGAAATCGGAAGTATAGAACACTGACAAGCAAGGATCCACACGAAATTTAGAAAAGGAGTCAACAATTATTGCCTGGCTTGCAAAATCCATAAGTTCAGATATTCCATACTGTTTTCTTTGTTAGCTTTCCTGCAACCATCCTGGCTCGAAAACCCATCTTACCTTGGGATCATTTTATTATGCCCAGATTGCATATCGCATGTACTATCGATAGGGGAGGGGGATATCACGCGTATTAAGAGCAGACCCTTTCACCATAGAGTCACCTGGGGATAGAGTTACAAAAACAAAAACGAAAGAAACAGAAACTGGAAAAAAAATAAACGAGAAAAAAACTTGTCACCCAACAAACATTTCAATTGCCAATTATTTCCTGGCTGGCGATGTGAAATGATTCAATATTTATATATTAATTTATCGATAAACTTTTTACCCAAATATTTGGTAAAATTCAATATTTTCACACAAATTCCTAGTGAATAAAATGTTAAAAATCTTTGCAAATTCTTTTCCACCTAATGCGAACTATTTCAGAATACTTAAGAATGAAATAAAAAGAAAAAATAAGATTAAAATCGCGCATCATTTTCCACTTTTCATGATACTTTGGTTTATGCCGAGGAATCGAAAGAATTCAAATTGTCCTCAACTAAACTAAAAGAGGATAGTTACACACTCAGTCACCGACACACAGCGACAAACTAATTTCATTTCCGTGACATTATATTCCACGCGAAAAACTTTTTACTTTTTACGAATTTTTTAAAATTTGAACTATATAATTGATGAAAACAAATAGCGCACATGAAGAAATCTGCAAACCACTTTCGCAAAACCAAAAATCGTAATATCGACGATTGTTTTTTGAATTTTCATTCAGATTTGAGATTTCCTTTATAATTTCCTTGTGATATACATAATTCATTGAAAAACCAGAAAAAATTTAAATTTACAATTGAGCATGTTTCCTTTATTTTTGATAATTAGTTGATAATTATTTTAAATTTTAATTCAAGTAAAATTTTCTGACAAAAACTGAAAAAAACAAAAAACCAAAGAAATTGAACCTTTTTTCCATTCTTCAAATTATTGAATATAAATCAAATACAATACAGTTTTACAATGAACTCATTATGCATAAGTATCAAATACATAAGGACCAATGTTTTTTTTCCAAGAATCTTCTTTTTCATCTTGAAAATCGAAATTACTGGTCCATAATAAGAGGAGAAAAAAGAAACTTTTTTCTTACATACATTAAATACATAAAAAATAACAATCTTTAATGAATCCAGAAAAAGAATTATGGAATTATAAAAATTATGGAAGTGAAATGCAAAAAGAAAATTATGTGGTGACAACACTTCAACGCGATATTCATTATGAAAGACTAGAAAAAGATAAATGAATGAATGAAACTTTCCATGAATTGTTGTCGGAAACAGAATTTGAAAAAAAGGTACGGTAAACACAAATGAAAAACGTCTAAGACGATTTGACATACTCATAAAATGTTGATGAACAAATTATAAATTAAATTTCCTCAAAAAAAAGGATAAAAAATTATAAAAAATAAAATTATAACGAAAATTTCGTTCCAATGCTTTCAGTCAAAGGCACTTTCACTTAAGAAAAAAACATTTTCCAAATTGTTACAAAATTACTTTAAAAAAAATATTTTCCAAAATTTCATTTTCGGTTATTAGCAAAAATTAATGTTTATCAAAATGTTTAAAAAATTAATTTTGCTTACAATCCAAAGTGAAAAATATTTAAAAAGATTCAACTGAATACGAGACAATGCGAGACTACCATATAATTTAAATTTTAAAGTAAAGCTTAATATAAATAAATTTTAATTTCAATAAAATTTTTTTTTTTCCAGCGATAAAAAAATGAACTTCGTTCATCAAATGAAATAAATTAAACAAATAAAATTAACAAAATAAATATTAAGGAAAAAATATATTAAATAATAAAATTATAAAATATAATTGGTATAATTAATGCACGTAAAACTCTTTTCCCGTATTCTAGTCAAATAAACTGAGAACATGGAAATAATAACTAAAATATAATTACAATTTAGAGGTATATTTTGAAATAATAGAATAAAAGTTATATTTACGAAAAATTTTCGCTATTTATGTTCAATTCACAAACAAAGCATAAAAAATAACAAGAAAGAGAAAAAATTTTCATAGAAAATAGCAATATAATTGTTGAGGTAAACAACCCTTTCTCTTTTTGTTCAAACAATTGAAAACAAGTTCACATTAAAATGAGGAAATAGTAAATCACTTATCTACTTACTTACCTCATACAATAAAACTTAAGTAAATAATTAATATTACAAAGTGCAGTTTGATAACTGTACAATTTTTTCAGTGATAAATTAAGAAATAATTCATTTTTACAAAAAATCGACATAAATCAAATTTAATTTATATAATCCAAAATATGAAATTCTTAATACATAATAAATATACATTATAAATTTATAAAATATTACAAATACCAATTAACAATACAAACCACTTATTTTGATAAAATTTACCTATACTATTTCCCATTTCGAATCAATAAAGAAATTAAAATTTTTTGAATCACTAAACTTTTCATAAAAAATTTTTCATCAAGAAAAATTATTTAATTAAATGAATGTTAGCGAATTAACTGTTAAGCTGCGAATTATTTATATCAATTATATCAATATATATCAATTTCATTCAATGTTATAAATGAGATTTGAAAACAATTTTTTTGCACCAAAAAACAAATTAAATAAAACCAAATGAATCGAGGTAATTTTTAGGCAATTGTTTTTCATGACGAACATTAAAATTTGCTTAAAATTGAATTTGTTTGACTAGAAGCACCACTATAGTAAATATGCTGAAATTGTGGTCTTTGATGTGCAACAGGAACAATGGCGTACTGCGCCATTATAGGTATGTGATCTGATGGTACATGAGGATGAGGAAAACCAAGAATTTTATTTGCTTGTATCCAAGACATATCCAAAGGTCCAAGAACACCAAGTCTTGATAATGATCGCGGTGTTGAAAATATATAGTCGAGTACACCTTTGAAGTCAATTCTGAAACATTATTTATAATATATTTACTTTATTATTATATTATTTATACTTTAACGAATTAAATACACCTTAATCACTGTTACAATAAAAATCAAAATTCTCCAAACAATACATCGATTTTTGGTCGCTACTAGGGAGGAGACAGAGGAAGTACCGTCCTTAGCATTCGAATTTCTTTTTCAATGAAAATTCTTGACAGGGAAGCACGATGCTTAAGGTTTCATATAAAGCAATATTATTCTTGGCATCGCAATCACTTCTCTTAAAAAGTTAAAGTATCTGCAGAAAGCCAATATTATTGTTGGTACTGATCAAATCAAAAATGGTGAAAAATATAGCTTAAAGAAAAAAAAATGACATCAAATAAAAACAATGAATGCCGTTCAAAAAACTGCAAAACATAAACTAACGTATAATTTGTGAATGATAGAGAAGTTGCATCAACTGCACTTTCTAAGAGTAAATTATGCGTATAAAATGTCGAACTGTTCGAAGAACTAAAATTGGAAATAGCAGAATCACCGCGAAACCCTTTTAAATCTTGATGATCCTTCGGTATAGCACTCTTTGACAAAAATTCCACGACGCCTTTAAATATAAATTCTAAATTCTAAATCCTTTTTATCATCGTTTTGAATAAAAATAAAACAGCGAAAAGAATGGAAAAAACATGAAGAATATAAATATAAAAAAGAACCCGAATCAGGCAACGAATTTAAATCTCCACATATTAAGACTGGAATTTGTTCAGCAAGAAGTCGATATTTTTCCGACATCTAAACAAATGAATCTTTTATATAATTTTTTGTTTTACGACTATAATTTGTGAATAAAGAAAAATTCCACTGACAATGATCTTTTCCCATAAAATGCGATAAGATTTTGTTAATTTGTATTTAAAAATCATACTTAAACTAGAGAAAATAACGGGAAATAATATATAATATTATTATTAATATAATATTAAAATATAATATTAAAATTTGGCAAAAAATCATGTACCTGCTGAAGAAGTGTATTTATTTCTTGCACTAATATCATACACTGTATTAACTTAACATCGCAAAATTCAGGATCCCAATGTATATGAGCCGTACAAATAACAATTGGATTACCAACAACATTTTCATTTGGCGCCATTGTTGTCCGTTCTATAACAATTAGTTGTATTTATATTTAATAATCAAAAAAATAATGAATATATGAATTTTATAAAAATGATTTTCGTTTACAACAAATAAAGGAAAATTTTACTCAAATAAACATTTTCTTTGATTTTGAGTATAGCGCATAAAGCTATATTATCCCTTGGCATTACACGATTTAACATATGCTCGCTGGATTGAGCTTTGTTAATAGCAATTTGAGTAAATTCGATTAAATGCTCTTGCTCCAAATCGAACCTGATATTTCTCTTGAAGTTTAATTCAATTACTCAAACAGTTTTCTCCTCTTACCTTCCACTTCTAGATTTTTAGAAAGATTTTAGAAAAATATCCAAAAAACGAAAGTAAGAAAGCATAAAATAAAATATAATCTAATTATCTTAAAAAAGAACAAATTATAAACTTACTTATCATATTTCCAAAAAATAGCACAACCATCGACGTATTTTCTTTCTTCTTCAGACATTGTTTTTGCCCTCGATTTAGGTGAAAAAATACCAGAATAACCGATTAATTCAAGTTCAGGTTGAAAAAAATTAAAAAATTGTTTTGTTTCAACCTCCTGAAAAATTTCACAACTGGAAATCGTTCTAAAATTATAGAATGTATCAGCAAAACAGCTTTAAAAAAAACCAATCAGTATGAAATAAAAAAAGCCATCAATGAAAATTTTTTACTTCACATTTTTCACACTTTTTTTGCGTTTAATATAATTTAAATATACCCAAAGTTTTTTTCGTTAATATATTAAGATGCACACTTAGAATGAAGCATACACAATGTACTTCTTTCTTATAGTCAAATAAATTAACTGAAAACATTTTTCGCGAAAAATGTTTTAAACGCTAAATTTAAATACAGAATTTATTAATTTTAAGACTCCTTAAGAGACTCGTTCGAAATAAAAACTGGTGTCCATCAAATTATGCGATAGACAGGATAATGGTTAAAGATAATGATAATTTTTGCATTTTTGCTGAAAGTTGTGAGGAAATGCAAATAATACTAAATAACAACTGCAGCAAGAATCGGACTCAGGGTCAATGTAAATAAAATAAATAAAACAGAAATCTTTTCGCCTTATGTGCAAGAAGCTGATGCCTCTTTTTGTAAATTCATTGCCGATTGAGGAAATGCTAAATTTTAAATACCTTGAATCCCATATGGAAGGCAAAGGATGAAATAACCCGGATAACAACAGCTAGAAATATGTTTTTGCGGTAGATGAAACCTCTATACAACAGTCGTGAAATCACCATAAAGATGAAAATCCGCATCCATATAACTGCAATTCTCGATCTTGCTATGTGGCTGCGAAACATGGCTAATTAGAGTGGAAGATATTAAGAAGCTATTAGCCTTTGACCACTTATGTCTAAGATACATTTTATGGATCCGTCGAGTGGATAAAATCGCACATGATTGTGCCTATCTTCCCTCAAATACTATCTGTATTAATAATGTTATCATAGAGCGTCGCCTTCGCTAATTACGGCATGCTCTCCATCGTCCACCACAGGAGTTGACTTAGACGATGGAAAAAGGAATGGCTTCTATTATTGCCGACGATGGTATCAGACCTCGCCACTTGAAAGCGTCTTATCCTTGTAACGGTTGGAGCCAGCCTAACCAGTAATGGTGAAAGCTGTTAGAATAAGAATTGTAAGCCAAAACTCAAACTATATGATTTCGATTAATTGTATGAAGAATTACGAGAATTCTGATTTACATTTATATTTGATTATATTGAAGATATTATTTGATTATATTGATCTAACCTGTACAAAATTTTATGATTTGCCTTTAAATCTAAAAAGTATTAAAAATAATGGAAGGAAACCTATTTGCACTAAAGTGATGTCTTACAATCTTTTCATTCCTAGCAATTACAGCAATAAATTGGCTATAGATAATATATAATAATATATAAAAATAAATTCTCCACAATCAGCATCTAATTTTGAAAATAAATAGAATTATCCATGATATTCTTTAGACATATCCCATCCTGACTAAATATTGGATTGACAGTTTGGATTTTTTTGTTTTATCTGTTTATTAAAATTATATTATAATTATATATTATTAAAACTATATTATATTACATTTTTGTTACTGATAAAAGGGCATGCTCATTTCCTGCTTGGTCTTCTAAATAAAAATAAAAAATAATGAAAAGATAGTAAGATTAACCTGTAATGTAATGATATCGGCCTCATAATGGCGTATTTCCTTGACAATCAACGATTTTCGATAATCCCAATGAAGCGCCCATGACGGACAATATGAATACAAACTACTTGTAGCATATTTATCACATAAAACATTATAACACAAAACCGTGAAGGTACCTTAAAACGATTTGAAGCCACAATTAAAAAATGAAAAACAAAAAATTCCATAAGAAAATAATTTTTAATGAAGAATAGACTAGTGAATTTTTCACAGGTAAAATGACTTTCGATAAATGGAAAAAACGATATTGAATAAAATGAGATATATAATCTTAAATATAATGAGATATATAATCTTCAACAAAGAAACCGCATTTCGAAAAGTACCGATAGGCCTTTCATGATCGGTTTGCTTCATCATAATCCACTGACGATCCGGTGGCGCACAAGAATTTACTGAAAACATTCCTTGAAAAAATTATTCTGCTAAAAAACACTATATTTTAATAATTAGTATAAAGTTCGTAATCAAATAAACATTTCTTTCAAAATTTCATGAAATTTTGAAATAAAGTTGACCGATTAATCTTATTTTATAAATTCATAAAATATAAAGTCATTTAAATAACTGAAAATAAAAAAATGAAAAAAAGAACACAATTTCCTGAAAAAAATAAGAAAAAAATAAAAATAAAGGGAAAATGTGCTTATTTTTTAAAATAAATTCTCTCCCCGCAAATGAAAGTTGAAAACTAATAAACAAAGTATCTGCACAATGCAAGCCAATGAAGAGATTTTAAGAGTATTTTCAGATGGTATTATCAATGTTGAATGATGTAAGTACTTATCAAATAATGTTGAACAGCAGAAATATCACATTAGAATTCAAGTTTTTGTAAAATGAAATTATGGATGCCTTTTTGGCATGGCATGACGCTGTGACGCTAATACCATAAAATGAAGGGAGAAAATCAAGTTAAAAAATGTTGCATCAAGACAAATCCAGTCTTCAAACCATGTATATCCCAAAAAAATATGAAAATATTTATTAATTCATTCAGCAAATCTATCTTGATAGCAATAATCAAACTTAACTTAACTTCACCAGTAGCTTAAAAAAGTATAAAAAAAGAACAAAATTTGGGATGATTAAAAAGAAAACGAAAAATTTATTACGTGATCGATTATATAAAACCATCACTATTATTATTATTATTATTATTATCATTACTGTTACTATTATTATTATTGAAATCCCTTTAAAAAACGAAAATAAATTCATTTAAACAAAACGAAAAAAAGATTTAGAACCAGACATGATTGCTACACGTTTTGAAAAAAATCTGTTAACAAAAAAATAAATATTTTAAAGAAAACGAAAAAAAATAGCTTTCTGTTATTCACGAATTATTGAGTTAGAAAATGTAAAACACTGCAATATGAACTTTTATGAAATTCATTTCACAAACAAACACACAAACAAAAAAACGAGAGAAAAATAAGTATTTAAACTTCAAAATCGAAAAAAAGCGGTTATAATATGTCAAAATTTATTGAAAAAGTTCAAAAATTCAAATAATGCTAAATATTATACCAATGAATATTTCACTGTACCACTCATTTTATTTAAAAAAAAGTGAGTTGAGCCTTAAAATAATAAATTCTCAAAAACATTTTTAAGAGGTTTTCAACAGATCAAAAAAATTTCAACCGATTTCTTTTGCACCGCAGATGAGTTATATCGGGCTAAATAATAAAATAAGGAAATTTCCTGTTATTTACGAATTATTGAGTTAGAAAATGTAAAACACTGCAATATGAACTTTTATGAAATTCATTTCACATAGCAATCTTACAATTTTTTATATTTGACTAATTCATCTACTTTTTTTCGATAATTAAACAGTGCAACATATGGCAGATTATAGAAATTCCTTACTTTATTAATTTTCGAGATGGAAATAAACAACTTACCAGACAAATGATCCAATAAAAATCGCAGCAACTTGTGAGCACCATTCGAATCATGATAAATTTTACTGATCTCTGGAGAGAGTGGATTACCTGCGAGTCCTATAACAAAAAAATTACTACTGATAGACAATCTTTGAACATTTTTGCTCCAAATTTTTATCTTTTACATATTCCTGAATTCCTTTTTATATTTCCTCAATAAATTAGAAATTATGATAAAAGAATCGTTTTTACAGACTTATTCGATATTCAAAGAAATTTCTCTATTGCAACCATCTACTCTAACACCAGAAATTTGTTTAATTTAAAAAATTACCCAAAGTTTGCAAACGAAAGAGTTTGCCTAGTTCATAAGGCAAAACCCTTATCTGATTCATATTAAGATAAAGATGACATAGTGAAATCATATCTCCCAACTCAGCCGGTAGACTACGTAGTTTGTTGTAAGATAAATCCAAAGTTGTTAACTGTTCTAACTGAGAAATCTCAGAAGGAATCCTTAAATACGACTATAAATTATGTAAAAACCTTTTTTAAATCATTTAATTAAAGAAAGAAAACAATTATTATTAATTAAAAATTATTAATTTAATAATTATTAATAATTTGGAAAACTGCTTAATTATTCGAACAATTCGATTTTATAAAATGTTGCATTTTAATTATGGAAAAAAAATTGGCAGAGAATAAAGAATGAAACCTGGTAAGGTGATTGCCATTCAAAAAAAGTGCCGTAAGATATTTCATATTCCACAAAGTTGGGCTGATATTTTTTATCCTACCTAGAAAAGTTTTTTCTTAAACATATTTAGCAACCATATATTTGGCAACCAAAAATGGAACTTTCAGCAAAACTAAAATAAAAATGAAAAAGAATAAAAGAACTGTTGAACTATACGTAACAGATTCAACAAATCTTTTATCCTTAAATCCTTAAAGAAGCGTCTTTTCAATATTTCTTTTTTATTTTCTTTACATGTGATTTTTCAAATCACATCATAAAAACGATTAAATATGGCTAAAAAAATTTTTACGAACCGTGAACTTCCAATTCAGTCCATTCGGATTCTTTACCTTCTGAAATTTCTTCATCAGTAAGTATGCGATGAACGCGGTACATACCATTTGTTAACTGCTTACGACCATCGGAAGATTCAGCTTTCGTTACTGGAAATCCCGCTGAACCACCACATTTTATTTCATGTGTGTCACCATTTGACAAGTATGATCCGTATTTATCGATGAAATTTGTCGATACAGACGCACGTCCATTTCCTTAAATTTTATATAATCTAAAGTAAATAAAAAGCATTGGTTTCTTTCTCTTTCCGATTTCTTACCCATTAGATCATGATGCAATAAATAAAACTTATTTAAATGCAAGCCTTTTTTTAGGAAGCTAAGACTGATCTTTCAAAAAATATTTAACATTTCACTTTTACTAACCATTGACGGCCATGCGAAGTAACGCTTTGGAATTTACTTTTGTATAACCAATTATGATCAGAAAATATTTAACACGGCAACCTGTCAGTATAAAAAAATTTTATTATCGTATAGAAGAATTGCTCCTTCGCTGCACAAAAAAGTTTTAATACAGCCAGAATGCTAAAAGAAGGATATTTTAGATATTAGGTTTAAACACCTGCCTACACGTTTATGCGACTGAAACTAAATCATAACAATGAATTTCTGATTAATGAATACGCATCACATACATCATAGAACAATGCTGCGAAAAAAAAAAAGATTCTATGCTTCATTCTTTTAATAATAATCCTGATGAAAAATTTGCATAAAATTTTACGAATAAAATGAGAATAAAAACAATAATTTATGCAAAAAATAGTCCGGTAAATGACAAAATTCAAATCAGATTTCGGATATTAGGAACGATAAAAATGGAAATATTGTCATAAATATTATTATAAATTGAAAATGACAAAAATATAGTGAAAATATAAAATGAATGGAAAAAAAATAACCAAATAAATCTTTAGAAAAAAGTAATTTCAAAAACATTTCTGGAAAATTTTAGAAATGAAGCTCTATTTAAAAAAAAAAAATCATCGGAAATAAAAAGAAAAAATAAAAAATTAAAAAAGAATTTTTAAACGCACTTTTTGGTAAATTATTCCAATATTACTACCATAAGCAAGCATAAGATAAATTTAAAACCGATAAATAGCGAAAGAGCAAAGAATTCAAAAATTCTTGTTAAATTCGTGCTTCAAATTTTGATTCTAATTACTAGTATTCACACATTTCTTTCGTCGCGTTAACATTATATTTATCTAAAAAAATAAAAATTAATTTTGCTTTGTAAACATTTGTAAATAATTAGAATAATTAATAATTTACTGAGCAAACTCAAATCTATCATTCTATTTAAGCTTTGAAAACAGAAAAAATTGGCAATTTAACAAATGCAAAAAATTTTAAAAAATGTATTTTAAATGAAATGGAAACATGTATTAGAACTAATAAAAACGCAAAAAGAAATCAAAAAAATGATATGAAAATTGATTTAGAATTGACAAAAACTAAATTTTTTAGAAATTTCAATTAACAATTAATTCAACTCTTTTAATTTTAATAAAAAATTGCTTATTCTCACGAAAATTCAATGAACATTAACAATAAAAATTTACAAATTTCATACTGCCGCGATTCACAACCACAATCATCTATTTCTGTTCGAAAGCAATCGATGTACATCAATAATCCTTTACTTGTTTCTCGATATAAAAAATTCTATTTTGTTCAACTTCAATAAGCCATTGTTATCATTATTATCATTGTTGCTATTCACATGCACATCAAAAACAATATTAAAAGTGGAAAAAAAATGAACTTGTTGGAAAAAACTTTCATGACTAAGTGGACAAAGAAGATAACAAAGAGGTTATTTCAATGTGGACTTCTACTTTCATTTTCTTCTTTCTGGAAATGCAGGAAGGCTCTCGTATGGCCGACTCGTCGAGCTATTAGGAAATGCGTTTCTAAGCCTCCCGATTCGACGCACATCAAATTTCATTCCCTATTGCCTACCGATCGGCAACAGACTACCCTTACGAAGCTGAAAGCCCGTTTGCTGATTCTCGGCTGATATTCACGCCGGCATTATCGATTCCACTTGCTGATTTGTTCGAGAGATTTCGATGCGATATTATTTGTATCTTTCGTTGACGACTCGCTGCAATACCACTTCTTCAACTTCGCTGCAATTTTTAACTCAAAAAACGATTTTAAATCCAAATAAAATAAAACCAGTGAAACTTCGTATCTTGAAAATCACTTTAACAAACTTAAAATTTTTTCGAAGAAAACGTCGTTTCTTCCGAAAAAACAGAAACAAAACTATTTTCCAAAATCAATGAGAAAAACCAAATTTTCGAGAAATTTTATTAAAATTAAACAATAAACGAAAAAAGTGTCATTTATTGAAAAAAAAATCAATAAAATTAATTTAACGGAAATCGCAAAATTGCTGCGAATTTTTAAAATGCTTCCCAAATAAAATTTCAACTATTTAATTTAAGAAATATAAATTTGAAAAAGAAACAAATTCATTATAAAATAAAAATAATCCTCTTTTATGTGTCTTTAATAATATCAATTAAGTTCTTAAAAATGCCAGAAATGACGAAGTCGACTATTGTGGTAGAAATCGTTCACACTCCACCTTATTCGTACAACGAAAAGTTCATCACCGCGAACACCTTTTCTAATAGTTATTTCATGGCAGCCATTTCATTTAATAATCGCTGTGACAATTGCCTATGATAGATGAATCATTTTACGATTTTTACGGGAAGATGGTTGAGTTTCACTTTAAAAATTTTATTTCTTTTTTAGAAAAAGGACGAAAAACTTTTAATAAAATAAAACGCATTTTACAAAAAAAAGAAAAAATTGAAATTTTCAAATATATTTAAATAAATTCATCAAAAATTTATAAATATTTTAAAAAAAATTTAAAATATATAAAAATTGGACAAAATTTCAAAATTTTAATAAAATTAATTAGAAAAATATCATAGAATTATAAATAAAATATTCTTTAATTCCTTATAAGCTTCTTAACGTTTATTTATTACCTTCCAAATTCCGAATGCGATTTTCCAATATTCCGATTTTCGCTAAAATTCTTTCCCCTCAAAAGTTTTACAATATTTTATTCGACAACTTTGTCAAGGAAATCTCCAATTGTTTTAGCCAATCAGTGGGTGCTGTAATCGAATATTTCAATTTTTTGAATGTACTTCGCATTTTTATTGCTTTTTTTAAATTATTTAATTAATTGGTTTTATTTTTTAATATTTATATTATTCGGTTTTTTGAATTCCAAATTTAAAAATTTATTCACTGCCCTGTGATTTCGTTTTTTTATTTGAAAATTTGTCCGTTGGCCGTCGAAAAAGCATTGAAAGAATTGGACTTTGCGTATATTTTATTTATATTTTTATAAAACCAACGGCAAATATGAGAAAAATTAAAAGATATTTTACAAGCGAGAAACAATAAAAAAATATTAAATTTTTTAGAATATTTATTCGAATAAATGTTAGCGATTTTGCGAAAACGTTTGTTTTGTTAACTTGCTAATTCTATGATTGCCGCAGGCAATATGCATTATCGCAACTAAATTATCGCGAAGACCGCATTCTATACCGATTTGAAAAGGTTAACGGTGATAAAACTGTGATAACTAAAATGGCCGAAAGTCGAGAAATATTTTTGATGATATTGCGATATTTCTTCACTTGGAAGACAAAATGATATGTTAAAAAATAAAAAATATCTAAATGAAATGAAAATATTTCTATTTAGAAACACGTTTATTCTTAAAAATCATGCAAAAATAATTCGTAGTACTCGGAAAGTTGGCCGCAAAAAATTAGCGAATTTCGGGATATCTCTCTTCTAATTTTAGTTTTAGGCTTATGAGTTTTCCTGAGAATGAGAAAGTTTCGAAATTTCCTTATTGCGAAGAGCTTTCATCAATGGAAAATATCGCGCGTTCCATTAAAGCAAAATACTATAAATCTTTGGAGCAAATGTTCTAACACAAATTAAGAGTAACTTCGGGCTCGGCCTTACTCTCACGGCTCATACACGATTCATTGATTTTACGACCGATCTTGACATCGATAGGCTAAACCGAAGGGCAAACTCAGTCCTTCGATCGAAGTTAAAGCTGAAGTTAAAAGCACCGAAGATCAGAAGCGAAATCGAAGGTTTGATTAAAGAAAAGGACTGTGCATAAATTAAGTCAAAAAAAAGTTTTAAATAAGATTTTTTATTCGATTTCAGGAAAATTAATATTTTTGAAACATGTCGCATAACTTGGAAAAAATCGCATTAAAAAACAAACCACTCAGGCTCACATGCTATTTACGCTTGCATGCTATTCACGCTTGCATGCCATTCAAGCTTGCATGCCATTCACGCTTGCATGCCATTCTCGCTTATATGCCACTCGCGTTTGCATGCCGCTCACCTAGTTTTGGTTGGATATTGAATTGATCAGCGTTTTAACTACATCAAGTTGCACTAATGGATTATTCGCTCATTTAATTACTGATTCATTCGCACATTTGGATCAGCAAAGTTCCATACTCCAATCTTTTTTCGCCTTTCTAAAGCTTGAAGAATGAGAAATTTATCATTTGTAATTCCAACGAATGTCTATTGACGACGGATTGCCAGCAAATTTCGAGCAAAAAATGCTTCGTACAAAATTTTGAATGATCGGAGAAGAAAAAAATTCCACGAATCGTGCATCTAATAACTTATCTATAGAATAAATTTCACTGAATTCCATAGCAGGCACATCGTAATTTAGGCACAACGAAAATCGAAAATTCTTATTTTACACTACCTTTCATTGCTTCGGATTTCGCGAGTCAGCTTCTGCAACGCTTTTTGGCTGAAAATGACAGCCACATATTGCCTCAAAACCGAAGGCCTCTTCTACAAATTATTGAGGTGTGAAGATGATCGGATTTAGTAGAGAATACATTCCCTATCGCACTTATCTTGGAAGAGCTATTCCTCTCCTGTAACACAGGTTTATGCTGATATGCGTTATCTACTGAGTCGGCGCCTTTCTAGTTTCTTCGTTTCATACAAAACACACAGTAATTCTCGAATTCGAAAATTTTTTCAAATATGTCGCGGCAAATTAAATATTTGCAATTTTTTCTCCTAAATGGTAAC